GAGGTGAGTATGAGCAAGTGATAACATGAAGATGGAAAGTTAATGTAGAGCAGATAAACCCTGAGGTAAGGGGCTGGAAGGTGATTACAAAATAGACATGTGTAGCCTAGGAAAAGCAAAGAAGTAAAGCCAGAATGTAACTGATCAGTAGGAGCTCTTAGGTCACTAGAGGGCTTGGCGAGTTCAAAGAGCATCCTTGGTATGTATGTCACAGTTAATTTTATGTATTAACTTGGGTAGGCCATGGTACCCAGATATTTGGTCAAACATCATTCATTGGATGGTGTTAACATTTTAACCAGTAGGCTTTGAGTAAAGTAGATTGCTGTCCATAATGTGAGTAGGTTTTATCCAATCAGCTGAAGGCCTAATAGAAACACCGACCTCCCCCAGTGGAGAGAGAATTCTGCCAGCAAACTCCCTTTGGACTTGAATTGAAAGTCTTTCTGAGTCTTTAGTCTGCTGAATTACTGCTATAGTCTGAATGTTTGATCCCAAAATTCATATGTTGAAATCCTAATCCTTAAAGACGATGGTATTAGGAGATGAGGTCTTTGGGAAGAGCTTAAGTTTTGAGGGTAGAATCCTCATGGATGAGATTAGTGCCTTATAACACAGACCCCACAGAGATTCCTAGCCCCTTTTACCATGTGAGAAAAAGGGGAATAAATGATCACATAAAGAAGCAATAAAGAAACAAAGCAGCATTACTGTTAAGGAATTAAATACATGTTTATAGATTGAAGGCTTGGGAATGGCTTCACCAAGTAAGTGAGAACTGAGAAACTGTTGGATGGATGGATGAGAATTTAAGGTTAGATAAAGGAGTAGTCCATGGGTACACAAAAAGAGTTTGGCTGTTATTTATCAATGTAATCAAGTTTTGACTTTATGCTGTAGCCATTGGAAAGCCTTTAAAGAGTTAATACTGTATATAGAAATATAAAAGTGACAGTTTAGTCAGATTAGATAAGTAGTAGAGTGACTATACTGAATTTGATGCTTGGCATTGCCATTTATAAGCTGAATGACCTTTGGCCATTACTCACATTTCTAGATCTTAATTTCTTATGCCAAAAAACAGGATTACAGTAGCATCTTTCTCATCATGGTTTTGTGACAATTAAATGATTATGAAGACAAAACACTTGGCACAGTGTCTGGACAAAAGAACCTTATAATAAAAATAATTATCATTATATTGTTGGTAATAAAAGTTTGACACCAAGTGATGAACATGAAAATAAAACTGAATAGGAGGAAAACAGAGAATTGGCAAGACTAGATGATGCAGGAAGCAAAAGAGAAGGCAACATCAAAGCGGATTCTGGGTTTAGAGCCTGAGAAAGCAGTTAATACCACCAGTATTCATGGAGAATAAGTCAGGTAGAAGAGAAGCAAGTAATCTTTCCACTCTTCTTACTGTCTCTGGGGAAGGGTCAGTATTCTTCCCAAGACCTGGTCAGATACAAGCTAGGTCACATAAAAGTCTTGGAGATGACCTGGGTGAGACCAGTGGTGAGGTGAGTGCTCTGCTATGGGCAATGTGACAGGAAAGCTGGTCAGGGAGATCCCATCATAGGCATCTGGGTCAGCCCTGGAGGGTGAGGGGTGTGGCATCTGCATGAAGGCAACAGAAGGATCCAGGTTGCAAACAGAATGCAAGTCACACAGCAGCCAAAGTTTCATAAATAGGCAAGAGTAAAATTTTAACAGAAGACGCTTTTCTAGAGGAATAGAAAATTGAGACTGAAGGGAAAATAACATGAAGAAAGATCATGTGTTGGAAGGTGTGCTGGAATATAAGTGAGAAGTGAGAAGGAGAAATAAGATGCATGTACAGATATTAGAGATAAGTATTAAAATAGGACTGAGTCACAAGGAGGAAAACATAGAACTGGAACTGGAACTGGAACAGACTAGCAGAGCAGGATCAGCAGTTCTAAGGCAAAAGCTTCACTTTTTGTTTCTCTAAAATGTTATTACTTTTATTGAATATTCAATAAATCTGAAGATATTTATAAATTATGTATAGCTATAAGAAATATAATAACTAGAGACATATCTAGGTTTTATGAAGTATAAAATGTATGCAATTTGTGGGATCTTCTTTAAAGAAAAAAAAAGACAAAATCATGAATACAAAATTAGATATAAAAGTGGACATTTTTTTTAAAGTTAAAAAAAAATCACAATAAATTACAAACTTTAAAAAGGCAGAAAAGTACTATAAACTTTACAAAGTCCAAAAAAAATACAGTATTTAATTAGTGGTTTATTTTTGCTTTATTTTTAGTTGCATAATGGAGAAGTGCAGAATCTCATAACTTTTTCTATGGTTAGGGGTTCTAACTAAAGAGTTTGCTCTAGCTCTAGAAGTGACTTTAATGAAAGACAATTGTGAGGAGAAAAATGAATGAGGAGACAATGGCAGGAAGTGGCCAGCTCTAGAATGTTTCATATCTGTGCTAATTAAACAGTGGAACTCTGTAAGATTTAGTCTGAACAGTGCATTGCTTATGCCTAAAAATCCACACTACATGGGGTTAGTCAAGCCATGCATTTGTACTTGCCGATTGTGCTGGAGTGTGATAAAAAAAGGAAAAGAAGAAATATAGGTGGAGAAGTAGAGGAAGGAGGAAAAAACTGGGTCATAGGGTGGAGTATTTGATAACACGATATTCCTTCATGTATATCCTGGATAGATAGCAATAAGAACTGAAACAGATTCTAAAAAATATAACAAGAATGATTTATGTATATTTATATAATTTAAAAGGAAAGACAAATTTGGTGAGGAAGAAGAAATGAAATAGATTCATAGCTGTAATTTTTTTAAATCTGGGTTACAAAACAGTATGAATAATATGATTGTTTTGTGTGAAAGGAACAAAGGAACATCACACACACACACATACATAAAACCATGTGGAGCAATACACATCAACTTTTTTTTTTTCTTTATTGATTTTAGAGAGAGAGGAAGGAGAGGGAGAAAGAGATAGAAACATCGATGAGAGAGAACATCGACTGGCCACCTCCTGCTAGCCTCTCACTGGAGATTGGGTCCACAACCTGGGCATGTGCCCTGATGAGCAATCGAATTGGTGACCTCTTGGTGCATGGGTTGACTCTTAACCACTGAGCCACACCGGCTGGACTACACATCAACTATTTTTAATAGTGGGCACATCACTATTAAACACTTGGTGTGTGGGAATCTGAAAGTTTTTAGTTTTCTACTTGAACTAACTTTTATTTTTTTAACTCTTTATAAAAATGTCTACTTTTTGAAACAAAATGTAAAGATTTGAAGCAGATATAGAACAGTGTGTGAGACTGATTGAGCTGGTCAGGTATACTGTACCTAAATTGCCCTTATTAGCTGCCCAGACCAGAGTGTTCTGTTTCATCATACCTTACAATAAACTTACTCTGGAATAAAACTTGAGGCTAAAGCCCTGGCCAGTTTGGCTCAGCGGTTGGAGCATTGGCCTGCGGTCTGGAGAGACTCAGGTTCGGTTCCCGCTAGGGGCACGTACCTCGGTTGCAGTTTGTCCCCAACCCTGGTTGGGTCGTGCGGGTGGCAACCACTCGATGTGTCCCTTTCACATCGATGTTTCTCTCTCTCTCTCTCCCTCCTACTCTATCTGAACAAAATGTCAAAAAAAAAAAAAAAAAAATGTCCTCGGGTGCGGATAAAAAAAACAAAACAAAACAAAACAAAAAACTTGAGGTTAAAAATCAATGATTTATACAATAGTTAAGTTCCAGGAATCAGCATCATAATTAATTAGGTCAGGATGACCAGCTCTTGCTTTATCTTTTATTGTCTCATTTCCTGATTTATTTTCCACTCCCTACTTGTTCCTAATTATTTGATAACTCTTTTAATGTGTAACAATGAAAGAAATTTCCATTCTTACCAAAAATGGAGTAAATTATGAAACAGTAGAAACATTTCTATCATAATGCTCCTCTTTATCCTATTTTTTTCTGAACAATATTCAGTTACCACAGCCTGTAGCCATATTAATTACATTTAGTCAGCTCTGAACTGACATGTGGACATGGATTCCAGAGTTTTAAATGACAATAATTTAGAGTGTTGCATAGTGCTAAAATTTTTCCAAGGCAACACAAAACACTCCTTGGTTTTTTAAAGGAGAAAAATGTACTATTGTATGTATAAGCGATTTAAAAATAAAAAGTGCTTTAGATATAGTAATTAATAGTTTAATAATTATTATTCTATTTTGATAAGGGTTGTCTTCCATCTGAAGTCTTGAAAGATTCCAATTTCATAGAATTCTATATAATCTCTTTCATCTGTAAAATTTTCACTTAATATACATGATATTTTTCATCAGTTTCCTCTGATGGTTTTATGCTTAGACTTCATATGGCAGTATAAGACAATAAAAATCATCTTGTCAGGTAAAGTTTACTTTAAAGAGCATGATAGGGCCTATCTTTTACCTACAATTCTAATGTTGGATGGAAAAAATACACACACACACACACCAGAGTGAGAGAAAGAGAGAGAAACACATGTATTTATGTAAATAAGAGCTTATTTTTAAATTTGATTATAAAATAATATAAGCTCATAGGAGGTACTTTGGAAAACAAAGAAAAGTAGAACTGAGAAAACATTCAAAACGTATCTAAAATCCATCTAGTAAACAAGTCCTTGATTAATGGCTTAGTGTGTTTCCTTCCAATCTTTTGAAGTTTTTGGTCATGCATATGAACAACCCCAAACACTTTATCTTTTCAAAGGCGATGCCATACTCTTGCTATTATTTTATACTTTTTTTCCCATTTGGAGCATTTTCCCATTACATTAAGTATTATTTGTAAAAATGTTTAACAATTATATCATATGGCTATATTAACACATTTATAATCATTCCCATATTATAACAGAGTCCTGACGGGAAACAGGTGATCCACCCAAACTGACACAACTGACAGGAATTAATAAAGGGGTGACTTACCAGTGTGCTGGCAAGGCCGGGGACATCAATAAGGCATGGTGAAGTACCCAGGAGCCATTATTACCCCAGCCTGAGGAGGGAAGAGGAAGAATGCTTTCATTCAAACACATAATTAAGCATTTGGAATTTGTTTCAAAGTAAGAAAGTAGGTGAGGTAAAGAACTAACCTTATGCTTTTCTAAGATTGGCCAATGGTCCTAACTTCATAAAAGAATACGTTGTCTTTCCACACGGGTTTAAAGTACTACCTTTTTCATATACCAAATATTTGAATGCTTTGAACTTATTTTTCTTATTCATTGATCTCTTTTTCTATTCCTGTGCCAATTTTATTAAATATTGACTTTGAGATACATTTTTATAATCTATACGTTAATTCCACACTCACTATTTAATCAAGCATTAAAAAGTCACATTAGAATATGGGAACTTATATTACAATTAACAAAATTTTTTAATTTACTTAGAAATAATTGATCTGTTTTCAATATAAAATTTCCATTCAGCCCTGGCCAGTTTGGCTGAGCTGTTAGAGCGTCGGCCTGCAGTCCAGAGAGACCCAGGTTCGGTTCCTGCTAGGAGCGCGTACCTCGGTTGCATTTTGTCCCCAGCCGTGGTTGGTCGTGCAGGTGGCAGCCACTCAATGTGTCCCTTTCACATCGATATTTCTCTCTCTCTCCCTCCCACTCTATCTGAACAAAAAATAAAAAAAATGTCCTAGAGTGAGAATAAAAAAAAAAAGAAATTTCCATTCAGTCTCTCAGGAAGAAAGTATTGTATATTACTTGCTAGATTCATTTTATCTGAGGGTTTTATTATGAATTAAACATTTTTCACTTTGTTTTTTGTCTAGTTATGATTAGAATACAGAAAAATGTATTAAATTTATAACAAGTCACCGTACTGAATTTTCTTATTAGTTCTAAGATATTTTTAAAGGGCACTTCACGTAGGTTTTTCAGGAAGAAAAATAATAATCCCATATGCAAATATGCATATTTTTTCATTGTTTTTTATTTAATTATTTTTGTTACAGAAGTTTCTCCTTTTCCCCCACTGATATCCCCCTCCTTCGCCCTCCCCACACTGTGCCCAGCTTTGTTGTCCATGTCCATGGTTCATGCATACATGCATATAAATTCTGTAGTTTCTCTCTCCTGCACCACCCCATCTTCTGGGGATTGTCAGTCTGTACCCCACTTCCACGTCCCTGGGACTACCCCATTCCTCAGACTGGTATGTTCATTATATTCCACAAATAAGTGAGATCATATGATACTTGTTTTTCTCTGCTTGGCTTGTTTTGCTTAGGATAATATTCCCTAGGTCGCTCCATGTCATCTCAAAAGATAAGAGATCTTTCTTTCTTACAGCTGCATAGTACTCCATTGTGTATATGTACCACCGCTTTTTTATCCATTTGTCTACTCATGGACATTTGGGCTGTTTCCAGATTTAGCTATTGTAAATAGTGCTGCTACAAACATGGGGGTACATATATTCTTTCTCATTGGTGTTTCAGGCTTCTTAGGGTATACTCCTAGAAGTGGGATCACTGGGTCAAATGACAGTTCAATTTTTAATTTTTTGAGGTAACACCATATTGTTTTCCATAGTGGCTGCACCAGTCTGCATTCCCACCAGCAGGGTACTAGAGTCCCCTTTTCTCCACACCCTCGCCAACACTTGTTGTTCGATGATTTGTTGATGGCGGCCATTCTGACAGGTGTGAGGTGATAACTCATTGTTGTTTTAATTTGCATCTCTCTGATGATTAGTGATGATGACCATTTCTTCATATGTCTCTTAGCCATTTGTAAGTCCTGTTTGGAGAGGTGTCTATTTAGTTCCTCTGCCCATTTTTTAATTGGGTTCTTTGTCTTCCTTTGTTGAGTTGTATGAGCACTCTCTATCTATTGAAAATTAACCCCTTATCTGATGTATCATTGGCAAATATGCACTCCCATAGAGTGGGTTGCCTTTCCATTTTGGTGGTTGTTTCTTTTGCTGTGCAGAAGCTTTTTAGTTTGATGTAGTCTCATGTGTTTATTTTCTTTGTTTCTGTTGCCTTAGGTGATGTATCAGTGAAAATTCTGCTGTGTATGATGTCGGAAATTCTGTTGCCTACAGTTTCTTCTAGGGTTTTTATGGATTCATGAGTCACATTTAAGTCTTTTATCCATTTTGAGTTTATTCTTGTGTATGGTGTAAGTTGATGGTCTATTGTAATTTTTTTTTTTTTTTTGCATGTAGCTGTCCAATTTTCCCAGCACCATTTATTAAAGAGGCTGTCTTTACTGCACAATATGCTCTTGCCCCCTTTGTCAAATATTAATTAAGTATATTGTCTTGGGTCCATTTCTGGGTTCTCTATTCTGTTCCATTAATCTATCTGCCTGTTCTTGTGCCAGTAACAGGCTGTTTTGATTACAGTGGCTTTGTAGTATAACCTGAAATCTGGTAATGTGATCTCTCCAACTTTGTTCTTCTTTTTCAAGATTGCTGTGGCTATTTGAGGTCTTTTTTGGCTCCACATGAACTTTTGAAGTATTTGTTCTAGTTCTGTGAAGTATGTCATTGGTATTATAATGGGGATTGCACTGTATCTATAGATTGCTTTGGGTAGTATGGACATTTTAATGATATGAATCCTTCCAATCCATGAACAAGGTATGTGCTTCCACATTTTATATCTTCCTCTATGTCTTTTTTCAATGACCTGTAGTTTTCTGCGAATAGGTCCTTTATTTCTTTGGTTAAGTTTATTCCTAGGTATCTTAATTTTTTTGCCGCGATGGCAAATGGGATTTTTTTTTGAGTTTCTCTTTCTGTGAGTTCATCATTGGTATATAAGAATGCCATTGATTTCTTGACGTTAATTTTGTATCCTGCTACTTTGCAAAATTCATTTATTAAGTCTAGTAAATTTTTGATGTAGTCTCTGGGGTTTTCTATATATAGTATCATATCATCTGCAAATAATGACAGTTTCAGTCCTCCTTTCCAATTTCGATCCCTTTTATTTTTTCTTCCTGTGTGATTGCTGTGGCTAAGACTTCCAGTACTATGTTAAATAAGAGTGGTCAAAGTGGGCATCCTTGTCTTGTTCCTGTTCTTAAGGAAAATGCTTTCAGTTTTTGCCCATTGAGTATGATGTTGGCTGTAGGTCTTTCATATATGGCCTTTATTATGTCGAGGTATGATCCTTCTATTCCCAGATTGTTGAGCGTTTTTATCAGAAATGGGAGCTGAATTTTGTTGAGTGCTTTTTCAGTGTCTATTGATATGATCATATGATTTTTATCTTTCATTTTGTTTATGTGGTGTATCACATTTATTGATTTGCAAATATCATACCAGCCTTGCATCCCTGGGAAGAATCCCACTTGATCATGGTGAATAATTTTTTTTGATGTATTGCTGGATTCAATTTGCTAGTATATTTGGTTCAGAATTTTGGCATCTATTTTCATCAGGAATATTGGTCTGTAGTTTTCTTTCTTTATAGTGTTTTTTTCTGGTTTTGGAATTAGAATTATGCTGGCCTCATAAAACGAGTTTGGAAGTCTTCCTTCTTCTTGAATTTTTGAAAATAGTTTGAGGAGAATGGGTATTGGTTCTTTGAATGTTCAGTAAAAATCCCCCATGAAGCCATCTGGGCCTGGACTTTTGGTTGCCGGGAGAGTCTTGATTCCTCTTCAATTTCTTCGCTGTTATTGGTCTGTTCAAGTTTTCTATCTCTTCCTGGTCCAGTTTTGGGAGCCTATGTGTTTCTAGAAATTTGTCCATTTCACTTAGATTGTTGAATTTGTTGCCATATAGTTGTTCATAGTAGCTGTTAACGATCTTTTGTATTTCTATGGTGTCAGTTGTTACTTCTCCTCTTTCATTTCTGATTTTGTGTATTTGGGTTCTCTCTCTTTGTTTCTTGGTGAGTCTAGCTAAGGGTCCATCAATCTTATTTATTTTTCAAAGAACTAGCTCTTTGTTTCACTGTTCCTTTGAATTGTTTTTTTGCTCTCCATGTCATTTATTTCTGCTCTGATTTTGACTATTCCCTTCCTTCTACTTGCTCTGGGGCTTTCTTTTTGTTTGCTTTCTAGTTCTTTAAATTGTGAGGTTAGACAGTCTATTAGAAATTTTTCTTGCTTCTTGAGGTAGGCCTGTAGTGCTATGAACTTCCCTCTCAGAATTGGTTTCGCTGCATCCTATAGATTTTGTGTTGTATTGTGTTCATTTTCATTGGTTTCCAAGAAGTTTTCAATTTCTTCCTTGATCTCCATGCTAACCCATTCATTGTTCAATAACATGCTATTTAGCCTCCATGTTTTCAAATGTCTTTGCATGTTCTTGTTGCAATTGATTTCTAGTTGCATGCCATTTTGATCTGAGAAGATGCTTGATATGATTTCAGTCTTCTTGAACTTATAGAGACTTAGTTTGTGCCCTAACATGTGGTCTATCTTTGAGAATGTCCCATGTGCACTTGAGAAGAATGTGAATTCTGCAGTTTTGGGGTGTAATTCTTTGCAGATATTTATTAAATCTATTTGATCTAGTCCTTCATTTCGCGTCTGTGTTTCCTTGTTAATTTTTAGAGAATAAATATATAGTGGGATATTATTTTATTTTGCCATATCATGCTAATATTTTTATTATTTTTGAATTAATTCATATGTGAGATTGGGCTACAGTGTGGTTTTGCTAATTATATATAAACACATTATACAGTTTTCCTTCATTCTCTATCATCCTTAACCAATTAATTAGCATGGGAATTATTTGTCCAGGGAATATTTTGGGGGAAAAAACTACTCACACATCCAATTGGGTCAGGTAGCTAGGGCAAGGGGATATCTCTCTTCATATCCTATATAATTATTTGTTTCTTAGAACTCCCAATCTCTTCTTTAGTCCAGTTTTGTGTTTTGTTTATATATATTTTCTTAGAAAGCAATCAATTTTCTTTGAGATTGTCAACTTTATTGCCATAGAACTCTATAAAGCATTCTAATTATGATTTAACAATTTACATTTTAATGAAAAAAATATAGCCACTAACTGAATTCTTTATAACTATAGTATTATGCAAATAGAAGTAAAAATTAAAATGTTTTTTTCTTAAACTTAGTAAAAAATTTCCTCTTTCTTTTCCCATTTCCTTATTTTCCCCCAGAGAGGAAATATTTAACTCATATGTTTCCACATACTTTTTTTTCTCTCTCTTGATTGTGATCTCTCATATTCTTTTGTTTCTAGTCCCCTTCAATCCAACTTATGTCTGGCCTTTTCTCCTTCTTCTCCTCCTGTAAAACAAACAAACATCAAAAAGCAATTATAACTTAGAAAAGATTCAGAATAACACATTCCCAAAATGCTTCAGTTAATTTATCCTTCACCACTTGGGTAAATCACAATTTCCTGTGAAGAAACAGAGTATGTAATTTCTGAGAACTCTATCATCTGGCTCAATAGGAACCTTTCAGAAAGTCATGAATGTGAGGAGTATCCTTGCTTCTAGACAGAGGCCTAACAGAATAATATTACTTATTAGAAGTATCTTTCTGTCGAGGCTCTTCAAGCTTCTAGCCTCACTTATATTTAGCTTAATAAATATGGACAGAAACAAGTAACTTAGAATGAAAGATGATAATGCTGATGTACAGAAGCCACATCATGGAGAAGACTTGACAGTGCAAGGAATGTACTTGCTTATTCTTTACGACAGGTTATAATAAATCTTGACACTTTACTAATCTTCAAGAGATTGGGAGACTTTGGGATACAAGAGAAAAAAAGGACCCAATTCACTTAAAAAAAGAGAGAGAGCTTAATAAAGGATGTATATAGTAGCAGAACTAGAAAACCAACAGTTACTTTTTGCATACATTGTTCTTATATGCTCCCAGAAATGGCACACTTTGAGTAAGTGACCCAGTTAGTTCCATGAACACTTACACTGCTGTCCCTTCCAAGAAATGTATGATTTGATCCCTACCATCAATGATCTCACAGTCAAACTACATAACCTCTAGAATAAGAAATAGCCTCATGATTGCTAACAGTCTGAAACCTCACAGAAAGCAGCTCATTAATACCATTATTAGGGGAAGGATGCTTTGTGTCTGGTGACTAGCAGATGTAGGGAAAGGCAAAGTAAAATTTGAAATTGTAATGGAAAAACAAAATGGATTTTTTCATCAATGTTGCATTTTACAGTTTAAAAAAAAAACCTTAGCACTTACTTGACAAATAGCCCCTTTTCATCCCTCACCTAGCTTTCAGTGCCACTTAAAGAAAACATCCTAAAATGTGTATTATTGTATTCTAATTACAATTGAGAGCACAGTGGCATGTGATTGTAGTATAACAACTAAAGCCCTGGAGTGCCTTTTTATTCCATTAAAAATGACCTTAGCTTTGGATCAGAGAGCTTTGCACAAACTTGTATTTTTTTGTGGTTTTCTCTCCACAGGTTTGCTTCCTCATACAGGGTGATGCATTGAATCATGACACACCAGGGTCAGTGAAATTAACTATCTTTCCCATGAGAAATAACCCACCATTCAGCATTTGCTATTAACATGCCTCTGCTGTGAATGAATAAAGTCATATGAAGTGTATGGAAATTGTGGAGCAGATGGGCATTACATAAATATCATTTGGTGTTCTTGATGGAGACAATACTTTTCTCATCTGTAAATAGGAGGCATTTGGGTGCAGAAAAGGAAATGTTGATCAGTTTGGTTACTCTAAGGAGAAATAGGTCTATTGAGGTTAATTTAAATTGAGTTTTCTGTCTGTTTCTAGAGGGTCTTTTAAAAATGATGGTTAATGCTAGATCTTATTGTGTCCTGTAATGGGAAGATTTCCCAGATTTTCTAGAATTGATGAGGTGCTTCTGTTATCACAGGCAGCATGAGTCTCAGCTCACTTTGTCTCTACACTAGATTTCCACTTGGGGAACATAAATTGGAAGGGATGTCATGAGCTAGGATCATTCAAATCAGTCTAAAAATATCTACTAAGGGCTTACTGCAAGTCAGGTTTTGTGCTAGGCAATGTGTGAAGGGCACACATTATAAATGAGAAAGCCAGTGATTCTTATCTAGTTTGAAAAGTATATTTGAACCCAATGGAACATGCACCAAAAAGCTCACTGAAGTATTGTTTATAATAGTGAAAATTCAGAAATGACCCAAATCCTATTAATAGGATGATGGAAAGAAAGCCTATTAATAGGAGACTGGCAAAATAAACTGTGATATATCCATACAATGGAAAAATCATCCATTATTTATAAAAAGTGAGGTAGATTTATATGTGGAAGGATCCCTAAGACATGATGGTACATCTATGTAAACAGACATAATATGATATATCCTGTATAATCATTAGATGTGTGGTAAACCATCCTGAAAGAATACCCTCCAAAGGAAGTCCTCCTACTGAACAGTGGGAGAAGTGCTATTCACATTGGAGATGGGTTATCTGATGACAGTCTGTCTTTGGTGGCCCTACACTAACCCAATGATGCTGGTTAACTTCAGGAAGAGAATCTGGAGTAAAGATAGTTGTCTAAGGCAGCTTTAGCTATTATCTAAAATGTTTTAATTCTTAAAGGAGATTACATTAATGAAATAAACATATATCAAATGTTAATTTAAAAGTGAGTGATATATTATTCCTGCTTTCCAAGTGCTAACAAGAGGAGAGATGGTATATACTTAAATATTTTGATGATAAACAAAGTGTGGCCAAGGCTATTCTTGATGTTCTAACCATGTGTGGTGGAAATATCTGTCTTTTTGTTTTTTGGAGGTGGGTGGTTAGTAAAAATATCTTAATGAAAGCAAGACTTTCTACTGTACAGCATTCTGAGCAGCTTACTGGTAGTATCATTAGCTGTCATCCAACAAGCCAACCATGTTACAAGATGTAACTCAGGGGAAGCAAGAAAGGCACTGGAGGGAGAGCCAAAGGGAAGGTTTTAGCCTGTATCTATTAGGATTGGTTGGCTTGCTATTTAATAATACAGACTCTGGTTTTCTCAACTCAAGGGTAATGAATTGGTAAGATATTAGGGGTTCATAGTATTGATGAGAGGCTGAAGGACTGAACTTAAAAAATATAGGTAGATACCAAGCACCTCGAGGCAAACAGAAGTGCAGGTGAACATGGAGGAGAGCACAAAATCTCTCATTTAGCAACAGCAACCTGAATATGAATAAAACGTAGTAGCATCATCATCTTTGTAACATATTAAATGATTGGCCTAGACTGGAGCACAACAGCATTTAGTTGTCAGGAGGGAGGGAGGGAGGGTGGGAGAGAGAGAGAGAGAGAGAGAGAGAGAAAGAGAGAAAGAAGACAAAACAAAATGAAACAGTGCCAGGTTGCACAGTGGATAGCAGGGCATCCGTCAACACAGTCCTATGGGAGTCCTCCAAGATGGAAATGGAGTGAGAAGGATAGATGATGGAGAGCCTAAAGAGAGAAATGGTTACTAACTGGCTATTTACTAAGTACAAGGTACTTCTCTAAGCACTTTACATGGGCATTATTCTATTTAATATTGACAATAACTCTGTAAGTTAGGTGCTATCATCAATATTATTATTCCCATTTTACAGATGGGGTTAAAGTAACTTTCTCAGGATTACAGACATAACATCTTGGTAGTTTAGCTCCTGAGTCTATATTTTAATGACCTGCCACTGCAGATGTCCATTCTATGTCCCCTCCTTGCCTTTTTTCCTCCCCATTTCCCAGAGTAATATGGAATACTTTAAAATATTAAACAGAAAATGTGTAAGACACATTATCCTTAAAGCAACCCAAAGGGTTTTCATAGCCGTAATCTCAGTTCTTGTCATACTTCCAAATTTAGGGTGAGAAAATACTTCAATTCTTATTTTAAAGAAGGCGATTCTGGATTATATTACTTGCCCCAATGTCCTCCCAATTAAGAGCTAATTGGGACAAGGACTCAGAACAAGTAAGTTAATAATGTAACCAATTCATCCCTCTGGTCAGGAATTACAAGTGCCTCACCCCTGTTCAGTGAGGTTTCTGGAACTAGGAACCACAAATCAGGACAAGTCATCAAGTCCCCCTGTTTAAAATTGCCCATTGGCTTCCATTACATTTACAATAAAACCTTAATTCTTTATCATGGCTATGAAGATAAGGGGTGTCTGCTTTACCTCTGGGCCTCATCTCTTTCCACTACCTCCCATATTCTTTGTCTTCTTGTTTCCAAATTCCTGCCTTGAGGCTTGAACCACTGTTCCCTCTGCTTGGAATGTTCTTCTCCTTGTCTTCACATAGCTGATTTCTTGGCCTTCAGCTCTCAAATGGCATCTTGAAGACATCTTTCCAGATCACACTAACTAAAGTAACCCTCCCTCCATATCGCTTTTCCCTGTGTTAATATCCTCATAGCACTTATTGACATGAAATTTTCTAACATCTATTTGTATATTATTGATTGATAGATTCTCTTCTCTAGAATGTAAACCCCAGGGGTGGGGGGCAGCATTTTTGTCTTTCTTCCTTAGGTCCATATCCGCAGCCAAGACCCACAACTGAATATGGCACACAAATGTTCACTTAATAAATTGTTTCCAGTTTACTCAAGCATTCACATTTTCCCTTGATACCTTAAAGGCCAAGTAATTGTAGCATAGTCAGTCTGCATAGGCCTTGGGAAAATTCCCTTACTTTTATAGTTCAAAAAGCTGACACAGAAAGGTAAAGTAAATTACCCAAGTCATAGCAAGTCAAAAGCAAACACAGATTAAAGTTTGGGTCTTTTCACTTGCAGAAAAGAGCTCTTTCAGTACATTGTGCTGTTTCCACTCTGAACGGTGAACTGAAGTGACCTTTGATTTATAACCATGAGAGGCAGTAGGGTTACATAGAGGTGTTGCCTTTCTGAAGATAAATATATCATCCCTTGGAATGGTTGGGCCCCTGAATTGATGATAGAGACATTCATATTAGACAGTTTCCATGTGCCGTTTTAGAACTTAACATGTATTGATCCATATTATCCTCAAAAAACCCCTATTAAGCAGATACTATTATCATCTCCATTTGAGACATTTATATTAGGGAATTTGCCTGCGGTCATACAGCTAGTAAATTGTGAAGGTAGGATCCAAACCCAGGCAGTCTGGTCTAAAGCCCTCACTTTAATCATCAATGCTGTTCTGCTTGCTCTGGCCATGAGGCACAATTGTTCCTTCAAAACACAAAAACAGAGAGTTTTCCTTTGAGTTGAAATAGGTAAGAATCCTCAGTGAACT